GCTGAGCCAGCCAAAAATAAGAGCTGTGCCCTACAGTCCATCTCTTGGCTTCCTTTCTTCCATACACATGATTTAAAAAATGTCCCCACTTAATAGCATGTAAAGATTCTATGCATGCCTGAAAAGGTACTCACCCACACTCCAAAGGGAGAGAACTTTACTTTGGGTCTAGTTCCTAGTCCCTGACCTTTAAGTGATTTCTGTTCTTTCTGATACCTCCTGGCGAAACTACAAATCTGATGATTCCCCACACAGTCCGTGTAAAGTGGTAGAAGGGAAAATAGGGCAACTCCTACTTGAAAGCAAAGGAAAGGGAAAATAATAAGCAGTGAGACTGTCCTATAGGATGCATTCAACTCTGCTAATTAGAAATAGCAAGAATTACCTGCTCGCGAAAGGAATTGAGTTGTTGGGCCAATGGACCTGTCTCCACCTTAACTCTTGAGAAAGATTCTGATTGATTATTTTCATCAGTGACCATAACTGCAGTGGGAATTGGGGAGGGTTTCCGTTCTCAGGACTGAACTGCTTTAGCCACCCACTTGCCATTGTAGCTCAGCAATGTTGGAGTTCATCTACACTCCAGACCCTGGCCTGGAGCTTTCTGTCTTTTAATGAAGAACCTTCGGGTTGATTCACTCTCCAGTCTTCAGTTTAATGCCACCATCTTGACCTCTGCCTAGGGGCAATTGGAAACAATTAACTGGGATTGAGGAGGACTGACAGATTGGCCTCTTGATGCAAGGCTGGATCCTAGTGGTGAGCTCTTTTCATTAGGGTGATCTGCTTTAGAGCTGTCATTCAGGTGTAATTATTAATAGCACCCTCCCCACACTCCAAACTGTCCCATTTTGGATGATAAATTCTATGGTCACCCTACTTAAAATGTGGTTAATTCTTCCCTTTCTCAGGCAGGGATGGCACAGCTGGAGGAATTTGATGTAGACCCTGGACACAGTCTTTCCATGATGAGTTGTTGTTGTTGTTGTTGTTGTTGTTGTTAGCTTTCCTGCCTTTGCTGTTACTCTGGAAAGGGCAGAGAATTTCCTTTTTTCATCGTGGCATGGCTCAATATATCTGACTCTTGACCCTTTGGGTTTCCTGGCTAGAGTCAGAAAGAGCGTCTTTTAGCCAAGCTGTAATTTCTTCCTCCCTGCTTCTGCAGAGGCCACTTTCAACATTACCATGTCTCTTTCTTTTGAATATTTATAGACTCTGCAAGCAGTCCAAGCCTTCTAAAATGCTGACATTTGTCAATCAAGACCTCTAAAACTCCACCCTTGAAATGCTGGGACCTGGAGACCTTTCATTCAGTGTTCTGACTACCACATCACAAGGATTTCCAGTTCCCTAGGCTGGCACAGAGGGGTCCTTTTGCCTCTCATCCTTCCTCAATGTAGCCAGTTGCACATCGAGGGATCTGCACGGCAGCACCCCATACTCAGCTGTAGAGAACTCTCTTGGCTGCAAGAGATGGAACTTAACTCAAAATAGCTTAAGCCCAAAAGGGAATGTTCTGGCTCATCTAACAAAAAAATCTAGGGTTACCTTGGCTTCAGGAGTGATCAGACAGTATCATAAGGATTTGCTTGTGCATGCATTCTTGATCTCGGTCTCTCTATCTCTATGTTGCCCTTGTGCGTGTGTGCACCTGCAGGCACACACCCACCGTTCTCAGCTCTGCTTCCTCTAGTAGCTTATTCTTTGTACAGCAATGGAACGAAGTAGTTGGTAGGGGCTGATTATGTACCCACCACTGAAGCAGAGCCCCTCTCACAATGGTAAGGACTAAGGTGGAAAGGGGATTGTTTCCCCAAAGGTGCTGTTACCAAAAAAAGTGTGTGTGGCGGGGAGGATTGGATGCTTGTGAGGGTAAGGAAACAACAGATGTCCACCTTATGCTTGGAAGCTTAAAACACATAGGCAAATCTCTTCAGGTTCAATTCTCATTTTAAAAAGTGAGGATGAGTATAGTTACCTATTCTATCACAAAGTGAAGGGGGGAAAAAGGCGAGGGTAAAATTCGCTTAATTTTTAAAAAATATTTTATTTATTTATTTGACAGAGATAGAGAGATAGAGAGAAAGAGAGCAAGCACAAGCAGGGGGAGCAGCAGAGGGAGAGGGAGAAGCAGGCTCCCCTCTGAGCAAGGAGCCTGAAGTGGGGCTGGATCCCATGACCCTGGGATCATGACCTGAGCCAAAGGCAGCAACTTAACTGACTGAGCCACCCAGGCGTCCCAAATATTTGCTTAATTAAAAAATTAAACCCACAGGCTGAAAAGTGTATACTTTTCTGAAGTTGCCATGTGCCTTTGGAACCTGTTGTAGAATTGGAAAACTTGACCTCCATCCTGTGACACCAGGGAGCCCTTGTTTCCCTCCCCTCACGCCCTACTACCTCCCCTGAGGCCCTGAAGGGCGGGGGAGGATACATGACAGAGGGAGAAAGGAATGTCATTTCTGTCTGGTCTCAGACTTTGCCGATATTAGCTGGGAATGTGCAATTTATTGATGTCGATCTCAACATCTTCAGCAATGATATGTAACAGGAATTAGTTAATTCAACAAGTATTTGTTGAATGCCTGATCTCTCTCCTTCCTCCCTCCTCTGTCTTCACCCTCTGCCTCCCTCCTAGAACTTTCCCATCAGCTTTTAAACATCCCCAAGGAGCTCTCATCTTAAAAACTAAACAAATAAAAAGCCCACAAACAGAAACTGCCTTCCCCTTAGACCCTATTTCCTTCCCACCCCTTCACAACCAAATTTCACACACTAAGTGAGTGTCCCTATGTACTCTATTTGCATTTCTCGGCCTCTTGATCCCTCCTCTGGCCATTGCTGACCCACTCCTCATCTTGCTGGAACAAAAGAGTTTACAGAAAGAGCACTGCCGTCTGAGAACACAAACCTCTGTGTATGGCTCTGTTATAGCACTTAAATATTATGTGGTAACTGTCTGTGTGATGTCAGCTGGAGTATAAACTTTTTTTTTTTTTTTTTTTTTAAGTAGGCTCCACACCCAGCGTGGAGCCCAGGAATATGAACTTCTTGAGGGTTAAGACAGAACTTACTCAGTAAATGTCTTACAGTGGAATGTTAACATATGTCTACTCCGGGCATGGTGACTAACATGTAGTAAGTGTTAAATAGATCTTTACTGAAGTCACCAGTTAACCTGGGTTGGCAACAAAGAGACAGGTTTGGTATGGGATGGAGACGAGTGAAATTTTAGGTATCTTGAGCTAACTTAGAAATGTAGGAGGAGAATGAGGAGAGTGTGCTATATTAGAAGGAAGGCAGAAAATAGCTTTGCTGAGGGCGTAGCAGGCAATGTTAAATGCTACAGCAAGTGTTTCATCTTTTCAAACTGAACACTACAAGAGGTCGCTGGATTTGCCAAATGATTATCAATTATCTTTTTTTTCTCGGTGGTGGTGGAGGGGGCAGTTTCACTGGAATGTTACCAGACTGCAAACCCTTAGGAAGCAGTAATTTGTAGGGTCTGGCAAATGCAAGGATCACAGCACAATTAATTTAGGTGGACAGTCAACAGGGTGACATGCAGCAGGAACTTTGGGGAGGTAGGTAATCATATCTGCACACTTTTCACCATTGCTACACCTTAAATGGATCCAGCCCATCTTATCCGTGTGGTTAAGTATCTCCAGAGAAAGAACTACAGCAGCAAAGTGGATGCACTTTTCTTAAATGCACACTGAATCCCTCATGCATTTGTTCTAATTCACGTGCATTTGAAATGAGAGAGGCCAAGTGGCTAGGCAGGGTCATTATGATCTTCTCTCTGATTACTTTCAAACACATTTTGGAGCATGCTGGAATTCTTCCTTTCCTAGCTCCATCCATTACATTCTGATTACCCTCCTTAGGAGAGAGCACTGCTTTTCGTCATTAAGTCTCCATGTGGCCCTTCCTTGATTTTTCCCACGAGGGTCCCGGATATGCAGTTCCAGAATTAGACAGGAATTTGTGGAGGATGTTGAAGACTCTTGATAGGCTGGGCTGGAAGTGGAGTTCTCTCTTACAGTCAGTGCCCTCCTTCCCTAAACCCCCAATACAGAAGGCCATACAGTGGCCATCGCGTCTGTTCGTAGGGCCGACGAAACCGAATCCCAAAGGTGAATGAAAGAGAAGCAGAAATTCCGGCATGCTCCTAAATCAGCAGCACAGGGTTTGTGGGATTTTTTTTTTTTTTTAACGTGTCTTGGAGTTAATTCATGTAATTTGTTTTCAATCGCTTAATTTAATTACTTTTCTTGAAAAGATGCCTGGGACAAGGCCAATATCTGAGAGAGCAATGTCACCGGGTCAGGATCTGGAAACAATCAGCTCTTATGGTGTTAAGGATGAAGGGCCAAGATCTTAGGGAACCTGAATTCCTGGTGAGCAGTCAAGTTCTTTAATCCGCCCCCAGCAGGATTCCGGCGGTTTAAAAAAGACAAGGAAAAAGAAAAAGAAAATCTACTGAAAAAACAAGACAACTCAAAGCGAACCCACCCCAAACTTCCCCCTCTCTGAAGAAAAGGCGGCTCCCACCCCAGAGTCCTCCCGCACCCCGCGAAGGCTCCGCGGCAGGCCACCAGCTATCGGGGGCGGACGCGTTCACGGGGAGCGCGGACCCGGGCGCGCGGAGCCGCGCTCTGCTGGGGCCGCGGGGCGGGACCCAGGGCGCGACGCCCCCGCCGCTCCCCGCCCTGGAGCGCCGAGGGAAGGAGCGAGCGCGTGTCCTCGCGTGCCGGGTCCGGGTCCGGCCGGGGCGGCCTGCCGGGCGCCCGCTGCCGTGGTGGCAGGAAGTCCTCGGGAACTACAAATCGAGGCATGCTGGGAACGTTCCCCTGCTCCTCCCAGGAAATGTCCTTTGTCCAGCCCTACAGGAAGCCCCAGTGAGGAGTCAGTCGGGCAGCCAGCCAGTCTGCCAGCCAGCCCGCGGCCGTTGCAGCTGCTGCAGCCGCCGCACACGGGCAGACGCGCCGCGGCGCGGGGCTCCGGCCGGGGCGCGCGCTGCCCTCGCTCCTCGCCGCCGCGCAGGTAGGAGCGCGGCTGCGGCTGGGCTCACGACCGCCTGGGGCTGGGGTTACTCGGGACCCGACCCGACCGCTGCGGGGATGGGCTGTGCGCCTGGGAGCGGGTGGCGGAGCGGTTGGGCGAAGTTGTGCGGCGCACGCTGGACCGCTGTCCGCTCCCCGGGGGCGCAGGGGCCCCGCGCGCGTGGGGTGCTCTTGCGGCCCCGGAGCCCGGGGCTGAGCTCCCTCCGGGGTCTGTGGCGGAGGGGCGGGGAGGAGGCGGCTGAGACGCGAGGGAGGAGGAGGCAGAGCGGCGAGAGCCGGTGGGACCGTCCCGCCGACCACCGAAGGGGGCATCCGAGACCCTCGGAAAAGCGAAGCCCAGGGAGGAGCTTGGAAGGCAAGGAGAAGGTGAAAGGCTTTGTGTGCAGCTGCGGACAGGGACCGAGTGTGCTTCCCTCCCCTTGTCTGTCTGCTCCCCCAGCCCCGACTCCAAGCTGGAGGGGTGGGGGTAGGGCACTCCAAGGTGGGGGCAGCGGGTCATCTTGGGTCCCTGTGAGATGTGCTCTTCCTTTGCCCTCTCCGCTGCATTCTAGCCGACTCACATCCGCGGCTTGCGCTGCCATCAGACTGGGCAAATGACACAATAAGGATGAGTGGGTGGGGAGATGGGCAGCAGCTCGTCGCCCCGGAGGGTGGCCGTTTAGCTCTGGTAGACTTCCCAACCCCAGATGTCCATGTATGCCGAGGGATGGGTAGCGAACGGGGCAAAGGTGATCCGTTCACGCAAGGATAATGCTGTGAGTGGAGGCATGGGGAGGCGCGTGTTGGGAGGAGAGGGCGAGTAAGAGGTTGGGGGTGGGCAGCGGCAACAGGGGCGCTGAGTGTACCTAAGAGCCAGTGTACATTCTGGCCAGGCTTCGAGAATCGGGTTACCACTTCCTCTGGGACTTTCCACGATTTTCCTTTTTCCCAACTGTCCGCCTCCCCCCAGTAGTGAATCACCCACCCCTTGCTACATGAGCGCCAGGCTGGATTCAATTTGGTCATGTTGTATCCCGCCTTTATAGCGGACCTATTTGTCCTTTACCTGTGGGGTGACATGAATACGCTGCATGCACTCTGGCCTTATCCTCTTCCCTGGGGCACTGAGGGTGTGGTGAAGGCGGTCAGATAATGGCTAGCAAGTTAATAGTTTTGGAGGAGCTGTGATGGATGGGTGGGCAACTTTGAACGCGGCCCAAGTGTTACTGCTGTATCTGAACTCCCTTGGACCTCTGTTTCTTTTTCCCCTTCCCCCCCCCCTTTTTTTTAAATGCTGTACCCAGATGGTCACTGCCTTCTCTTAACAAGCCAACATATGGATATTAGTTAATGTGGAATATATTTTAAGAGCCAAATGGACCTTTAAAAATGCCACTTGGGTGGTGAGGTAGGAGCATCCAAGGCTCATGGTAAGGAGGATGTGGTAGGGCACAGAGCCCTGCACCTTGTATAAATGGTTTGTAGGGAGAACCACACTATTGACACTGATTTCTGTAGGAGAGATGAAGCATCCGAAGGTAAGGTAAGAATGGGGTGGGGGGAGGGGGAAACCCAGTTGTCCAGGCTGAGGGCCTTAGGATGGCAAAATAAAGGAGAAGAGTTCTGTCAGTTTGGAAGATGATTTCTAGTTGGAACATTTTGGCTGTGTGTGTGTGTGTGTGTGTGTGTGTGTGTGTGTGTATGTATATGGAGGTGGTTGTTGGGGGAGAATTTGATGTCAGAATTCCAGCTGGGCCCCAAAGAGAATAAGATGGCACCAGAGTGAAGCAAAGTGAGAAATGGGAAGTCAGGCCACCCTTTACGTTACACACAGGAGAACACTGATGGCCTTCAAAAACCACTGGGATTAAGGAGGTAAATGGAAACAAATCAGACTGAGGCAAACCAGCTGATGCCGCTGGAGTGAGGTGGTGGGGCTGATCTCACTGAAGGTGTATGACTAAGGCTGATGGGAGTTGCACCACATTTCCTCCCCCCACCCCCTAAGAAAAGCTCTTTGGGTTTCCTCAGAATCTACATGTTTGCCTAATTTCTAGCATCCAGTTAAGGGAAGGAGATAGGGCAAAGGTTGATGATAAAGATGATAAATTAAGAAAGATACTGCCTGCTCAGGGAGAGTGGAACCCTCCCTCCCCAAAACTGCAGTGCCGTTTTAAGAGGTCTGGAGCCTGAAGCTATGCCAGTGGTATGTGGGCTTTTCTTTGTATCTAAGATCCGACTTCTTTTCCTTCTTTTTTTCCCCCCCCCCCCCGCCCCAACAGGTTTCTTGGCACTATGTAATGTTAATGTACTCAGTATAAGTACCTCCTTTGTTTGGCATGCAAAACCCTTCACAGTTCTGTGCCCGCCTACCTCAGTCCTCCATTGGATCCAGGGCACCGCAGAATACCTACCCATTCTTGCAGCAAACAGCTCCCCATTTCCAGGCGCCACAGACAGTCTTCCACCAGTGTGTCTCCACCAGGTTGAATTCCATGCTTGTTAGGCATCCCTGCACCGCCTCTGATTAGTTTCTGCAAATCCTAGCCCAGCTGATGTAGTATGCTTCTGGAAGTCTTCCCCAGACCTCCCAGTCAGAATTCATCTCATCCCCATGGTACTTTGTATCCTTTGGATGACTCACATCTCTGGTTGGTCTTGTGATAGCTAGATGTTAATTTTATGCCCTTCAGACTGTAAACCACTTGAAGGCAATGGCTCTCTCTACCCGGTGCTTTATACCTAGCAGTGCAGAACAGATATTTGTTTGAAATGCATGAGTAAATGAGGATTGAGTGAAACAATGCATATGTCTTAATTTTTCTCTTTCCTTTTCTATAAAAAAAAGGGATGAAGCCTTTCTCATAGACCGGTGAGGATTCCTTGCAATTGTGAATCTAAAGCATCTGGTTTGTGATTGTCTGGTGCTTTTCCTTGTGCTCCTGGATTAAGAGGCCCTAAAAGGATCTATCATAGTGTCTAGTACAAAGACATTCATTTAAAGTTTGTTGAATAGGTTCTTTGCCAGCCTATGTTTTCAAACTCTTATAGACAGGGTTTAGAATGGATTAATCCCAGGTGGGTAATTAGTGACTTCTCACCTGGCTCCTGGACTGAGGAAGGTGACTGTTCCCTAAGTTGAGATGTGCTTTCTAGAAAGCAGCACCGCAGAGGCCATCCTAGTATTTTGCAGTGAAACCACTGACATGTCATGTTGCTTTGGTTGTTTTTATAGCCCGAGCCGCCCACCAGGATTAAAACTAGTTGTGTATAAAAGTGCAAGGCAGAGCAGACTCTCAGATTTTCCGCAAAGTTGCTGCCATCTTGTAGTCCCTCACTTAACCCTAACTGGACAGCTTTTCATGCTTCCTTTTTTAGGTGATGACAGCAACAGTTAATGGTTTATTGAACATCTGTGTATCGACAGTTGAACTGGGTAATTTCCATACATTGCCCTGATCTGATAACTTACGTATTATTATCTCCATTCAAAAACTGAGGAAATGGGGGCCCAGAGGGAAGTTAAGAAACTTGCTTCAAGTCCCAGTTTCTGATCTAGAGATAGGCTGGAATTTGGGTCTGTTGACTCCCAATCCTGTTCAGAATGGGTGGATCTTTGCTTACCCTGAGAGAAAATTGCCAGGTCTCTTTTCCTTCTTCCTCTGAGATCCCTCACTTTCCAGATTTCCTACCGGGAACACTGTTGGGTTTTTAAATCCATCCTAGCGGATCTCATTCTGAGAGGCACTGGTTTTTCATAAATTCATTGTTCTTACGCCCTTGAACGCCCATGGGCGTCAGTTAGAAAGCTCAGGTTCAGAACCCCTAATAAGACCGTGGAGCACACAACTGTTTGCCTGGAATCCTTTTCCGGTCTCTCCCAGACTGTCTGAATTCTTTCTGTTCCTCCCTCCTGGCCAAGACTTACCCTTTTCCAAGCCGCCTTTCCTGACACTCCAGGTCACATGCAGCCTCTCTAATTTTTTGCATTGTCTGAAATACCTGGAGCTCAAGGTCTTCCTGATGAAAGCAAGCCGGAATAAGCCCCCACACTGTGTGGGAATATTTGCATATTCCCTGTGCATGGCAGGGACTGTATGTCCAGAACACAGCCTGGCGGACGGTGGACCTTCAGGAACTGAGTTGAGTTGACAATAAATTGGTAATGATGGAAAATGCCGAAATATAGACACGAAACATCATTTGCATGCTGACAGTTTGGGAGAGAGGTCAGAGGGATCATTTTCTTAGTGAATTTTCATCCTTTTCACGTGACTGCCACAAGAAATAAGCACCTTCTGGGCACCTGGGTGGCTCAGTCAATTAAGCATCCAACTCTAGATGTCAGCTCAGGTATCTCAGCTCAGGTCTTGATCTCAGGGTCGTGAGTTCAAGCCGCATGTTGGACTCCATGCCCAATTTAAAAATTAAAAACACCTTCTGGAAATACACCAGAGCGGACCTGTGTGTTGCTGAGTTTCACGAGCTTCAGCTTGACTAACAGCGTCACTGCTAAGTGATGATGGTGTTTTATTGATATTGGGTAGTATGGGTGGGGCCTTGGCTCCAGGGCCTCCCCCCTTGATGTCATGCCCACCTCTACCATAATCTTGTAGGAAGGGCCTTCTGTTGCACATCTCAGATCAGAAGTTTCCCTGCTTCTGCAGATACGGTTGGGGGAAGCAGGAAGTAAGGCTAGGGTGAGGGAGGAAGAGAGTTCATCCCATTTTTACCTCTGGGAGAGTAGCATCACTTGGGTGGGGTATGGATTTGGGCTTTATCGCATCATGTATTAATGGGGATGGTAAAATGGTTAGCGGCCTTTCCTCTTCGGGTGGAAAAGGCTTTTACCCACCACAAGATTGCATCCATCTCCCCAGGCTGACTGCCACCTTTTCCCCTGACCTTAAGACTACACAGCACTTTGGAAGCCTGGGTATAAACACAGTGTGCCGTGGGATTGTTATTAAGCACATGAGTCATTTTAAAGGCAAATAGGAT